AACTTAACGGTTAGAAACTTGCCAATGTCAGGCTAATAACAGCTGGTAACATGGAGAAAAGTCAATTTTTTGAAGGCCATAGATAGGCCTAAATAAAATGTTTTTATTGTGTACCAGTTTAACGTTGAATATTATTTATGATTTTAACTTTATACCCAAGTGCCAAAATACTATAATTAAGTCTAAAGACTTGTTTGATTCATACAGCTGCTGACTGCTTTACCTTATGTTTGGCTAGCTCCACCTCAATAATTTGAGGGTCACCAGCAACAGGCTTTAGGTTTGTTAAAGTTCTCTCAGTTTTAGTCATCCAGGACAGGAGTTCATCCAAAGCATGCTGAAACTGACCAAGTTTCAAAAGTGCATTTTCTAACTCTTGCTGTAATGAAAGAAAAACAATAGTTAAGCATATATTTACTCCACATTGTGATGACAATTTTAAGATTACTTAATGTTGTGTGTCAAAGCTTATTGTATTATTATTTTTGCTATAAATGTTTTTCTGTAGTTAAGCACATAGATACACAATGGGCTCTCCGTGCTCTGCCCACCACAGATATTAAAACAGGGTTTTTAGTGATATAAGTCTGCAGACATACCACACATAAATAAAAAGCATTTTATAGGCATAATGTCTCAGAAAGCTTTTCATATAAATTATTTTGATACAAAGAAAGGAAATCATTTGTATACACTTTCATAGCTGATAATTAACAATGCATTGAAATGAATTAATTCATTGAAATTTCATATCAGAAATATTACACACTTCTTGCTAGTTAATAAATACTAAATAAAAATCTGGTGACTAAAAAAACTTATAAACGAAGACAACCATTCCAATACAAAAATGTTATTTTTGTAGAAGATTAGATTACTGCCTGGTAAGTGTTTTTTTTTTTGTTATTGCTGTTTCAATAAAATCAAGTTTTGGTACCTTCTAGCTACATCAATGTTTAACAATAATTTGTAATGAAAACAAACTACAAGATATACAAGTGAATTTTCACTGAAATTTAACTGCAAAATTCCAAAAATATTATAATCATACACACTTGTCGTTCTACAATGCCTTTCAGCAACTCATCCCAGCGATAATTAATCTCAGTTAAGGGTTCACAAATTGCAAAAGCTTGGTCATGTGATGTTCTTTTTGCTAGTTCTTGAGCTTGTCTGTTCAAAGCCTCAATTTCCACCATGTGTGGATCAACTTCAACCTTGAATTCCTGTTGTCAAGAAGACACACATATGGTTTTTACAAAAATTATAGAAAACTATTCATTTAAGTACAGAAATATAGGTACAGACACATGAAAATTAATATTTATGTTAGCTAGTACATACTGACTTATAATATGTATAGATTTGTTTCCTACATGTGAATATGTAAGACATTTTTACATAACAAATGAAGTGCTGATGGCAAGTGAAAATTCACAAAATATTTATTTGATACAGTAATATTTGAGTCTTTAACAAATGACTATGTCAACTGAAATTTCTTGTAAGTACTCTCATCTTCTGCTCTTCTACTATTACTACAGTTTGAAATGAAAGTAATAACATTTTTAAATACTTCAAGTACTTGTAAACACTAACCTTCAGTTGAGCAATCTGCAACTTTACTGCATCAGTATCAGACCCCACTGGTCCAAAGTCAGCAAATTTTTCTTCACCACTGTCAAGGAATTCTACAAAGTTCTGGGAAAAGTAGTGAATTCATAATTTAAAGTAAGTAATATTTTAGTTTTTATTTAACATACATTTTTAGTGAAATCATGTTTAAATGCAAACCTGTGTTTGATTACTGTGACATAAAATACTATAGGAAAATAGGAAACACCAACCTGAAGGGTGAAGTGGAAACTCATTGCTTTTTCCATGGCATCTACTAGATTCTGTTCTCTCTTAGCATAAAGGGTAGTGACATTCTCCCAGGCTGAGTCCAGATCTTCAATGTGTTTCTTGACCTCGGGCTTATCTGGCTCTCCACACAATTGCATCAGGTCTTGACCTGCCTGCCTACACTGGTCTACTTCTGGTCTTGTCTGGTCAATCTCCTGCTTGATCTCCTGAAGAGCATCTTTTTGCTCCTGGATGGCACTAGGCTCAATTGCTGGAGGCTCCTGGACTTTCAGGTTTTCTTGCAGTTCTTTCAGGGCTTTCATCACAGCATTAAGCTCATTCCAGAACTTTTCTGCTACTGTCAGAGCTTCCTCCAAGGAGTGGCCACGGTTCTTGGATGATTTCTGTATTTTGTCCCACAAATCATTGAGTTGATCTAACTTCTGTCTGATGTCTGAAGATTCAAAAGTGAAAATGACTTTCTATTTAATGTGAATGAGATGTCCATATTTTATGAAACTTAAATTTTATATATCTTTTAAGCAAACATACGTTCATATGTGTTCTGCAAATATTACAAAATTGTCATTTGACTTCATTTGGAAAAGGACATCTCAAACAGATAGGTTTACGTTTTCTAAATGAAAAAACAAACAAACTTCATACTAACCACAGATGTTCAAAATTAGCATAGACTTATGTAAGATGACCAGTATTTATGATAGATTTTTTTGCTTCTGACCTTATGGTTTAAAAATCAATGATAGTAAATTACAGATCACCTTTGACAGCAGGTTGGTCTTTACCAGCCTTAGTAATGACATCAGCAGCAGCACGTTTAACAGCCTCTAGAGCTGTGGATCGTTTATTCAGATCCTCAAGAACGTTCTTGTTGTCTTTTATCTGCTCTTCTATACGTTCTGTGTGGGCAGAGATGGGTTCAGCATTGTCCAGTTGGTCTACAGTCGTGTTGAGTGCTTGTAGCATACCATCTAACTTGTCTGAAAACTTAAAAGAAATATGCTGATTATCTTTCAGCTGTTAATACATCTGTCAGTAAATGTTTAGTGTACAGTAGTGCTTGTTAGCATATCATCTGACTTGTCTGAAGACTGGAAAGAGAAACATACTGAATAATTATTTTTGTTAGTCAACAAGTAATTTTTTCCCCTTGTATTCCTTTTTTGAATTGTTCCAAGGCTTTTTGAATTTTCAAAGTTTAATTGAGGGATAACTAGGATTCATATGAACCCTGTTAAAAGTACTGGTTTCACTATTAAAATGTCATTTTCATCAAATATCAATCTCAAGACAGTGATTTAGAGTTATCTACCTGGGAAGTAGCCTGTAAAGTTTCTTCCAGCTTGTTTTGTCTTGTTCGTATAATTTCTCGCAGACTGTTGTAGCGAGAATTATCAGACCCCTTTATTTCTCGGATTTTAGAGCCTTCATCATCACCACACAATTTGGACAGGGCTGTACACGTTTTGTTTAACTTGTCCACAAGAGGTTTATGTTCATTAACAGACTGTAGCAGTTCCTGTAAGAAGAAAATTTGTGCTTACATCTTGGTTCAAAGCACTTTCCATTAACCATTTCATTATTATCATGGTTTCTGAAAATGTTTGGTTACCTCTAGGAAAAATTGTTGTAATAAAGTTCTGGAGAAATTTAGCATTACTTTGTTAGACTGATATTCTTGTAGTTATGTAAAATATTTTAATTTATTAATTCACTAAACAAAATTACTTTGTTAAGCTTGTAATTATGTAGGAAAGACATTCATATCAAATTACAGAGATACTTTACTTACAATTTAATATATATAATTTTATAAAAGTTTTACCTGAGTTTTGTCTTGCTGGCGTTTAATTTGAGAAACATTTAGAGTAGGAGTCTCTAGAAGTTCCATTTCAGCTTCTGCTTCATCCAACCACTGGGTTAATTCTGAGTGTGTTTCAAAAAAGTGTTCAGCCAATGGTAGAGCTTGTTCTAATGCATTCATTCGATCAATGCACATGGTGTAGACACAGCTTGAAAGGTCTTGTAACTCTTCAGCCTTTTCTCTGATGATGCTTAGATCCTCTGTTGACACCTCTCTCATCAACTTCTTAGCAGTAGTAAGAATGTCTCGAACACGGCTCTTCTGACCACTAACTTCTTCGTTCATAATCTGATAAAGCAAAGCATGAAAAGTTCAGTGAAATTATTCAGGTGAATTACTAAACATATTGAATTAATGTGATTCCAATGGCCCAGTGATAACAGTGTGAACAGTTATTGATATTCAACTATAAATATATGTATATTTGAAATAATTATTGTGGAAGATTCATGACTTTATGAAATTAAAAGTAGTTCCCTTAGATTAAAAAATGGCAGTAATAATGATAACTTACAGAATTAATTTGTAATACACTTGATAATGATACAATAAAAGTTTACAAACCTTTTGCTCTTTCAATAAACCTATTAGTAATTCAGGGTCTGGATAAATAAGTTCAGCCTCTTGAACTTGTTGCTGAGTTCCTTGAAACCAATCCATAAGTTCATCTATGTCTCCCATAACCTAATTGCAGAATTTTGAGAAACTTGTGTAAAATTAAACCAAATATTTGTATTTAATCACATCTTTTATATTTTTTTCACTGAATCATTGATACTATCTTGGCATTTTATAATAATAATAATAATATATTTTCATGTTGGTTAAGATACAGAGATAACAGCAGATTATACATTTTCCAATGCCTCAGAAATTTTACCATGAAATAAGTTTTCTTTTAAACAGATTTCAACAAAATGTTACACAATTTTTGAATCAGCATTCGAACAAAATGTGACTTAAATGTCAACCTTTTGACATCACAAAAAAGTTAGAACACAAATCTTTAAAGCTACTAATCACATACCTCCATATTCTTTTGTTTGTATAACTTTATTCTCTCTCCTTTACGTTGTATTTGTTCACAGATGGCATCATAGTGACGATTGTCACGTGTAACGAGTGTTTCTAGTAAATGTGATCCTTCACCAGGTGAGATCTGACACAGACGTGGCCCCAGTAAACTAACTGACTCAACAAGTGGTCGATACTTATGGATCTCTTTCTCTAGTTGCTATTAAAAAGGTTGTATAAAAATATAAGGGAAAATTAAGCTAGTTGGTATCTGAAAGTTTACTTTCTTACAGTTGAACCTTTAGAATTACTGACTAGTTTTTCTCAACTTTTTACGTTTTACTGTAATAGTTCATCAAGAATTCTAGATATTCTGACTAAAAAAATTGTTATCTCTATGGTGGTTCTTTTGATAGTTCATTAAGAACCTCTAAATTACTGATCAAAAGGATTGTTTACCTCTATTGTGGTCCCCTGCGTGATGAGGCTGAGGGACTCCAGGGTTTTTAGGGTTCGTTCAGTTTCATCCATCCAGCAAACCAATTGCTCATGAGTGCTGTGAAATTTCTGTGTGAGTGGCAGGATATCTAGTGCCTGCTTCTGTCTCTCACTGCAACCTTGGGACACATCATTAAATTTGCTTTGGATAGCATCTGCCTTATCTTTTACTTGAATAGCATCATCTCCTGCAGATGTGACAAAAAACAATAACTGTTGGCATTAATATTTATTTAACTGCTTCTGTAAATAAAGCTGAGTATAAAGATATATTTCTATTTTAAACGTTAAACAAGAAAAGTTGTGGCCAAATATGTTTACAAAGACAAAGATAAACATACAGATGCCCTACCTGAAGCGTGCTTCATGATTTGTTGAGAAGAGGCTATCAGGTTTTCCACTTCCAACTGATGACTTTTAATTTCTGAATGAAGCCCCTAAAATAGTGTAAATAGTTTTCAGCATTAGCTGTGTTACAATCTATAATCAGTCAAGTCATGTTGATTCTATCTTGCTCTGTTTACAAATAAATACCTTCTTGAAACCCAATCTTTAAATATTTTGTACATATTCTAGTTGTCTAAATGAGTTTTGTTATGTTTAAACTGTATTGATACTTACAGTAAGTTCATCTATCTGTTCCTGGAGTTTATCTATATACACAGAAAAAATCTGGAAACGGGTAAATTTGGTGTGCACTTCTTGTAACCAGTCCTCTAGCTTCTCACAGCTAACTAAAAAGGTTCCCACACCTTCTAGAGCCTGGTTCAGCATTTTCCCAACATTTTTACTGTCCTCAACTACCTTGTTATACTGATAATCTGTTTGCTCAAATTTTTCACGGATTGTATAAGCCTCCTCTTCACTAAGCAAGGTTACAAGAGTTTCTCCAGTACTGTGCATTTCATCGAGCAAAATCTTATGGTTTGTGATATCCTTGTGGAGTTCCTGAACCAAGATGAACAAAAAAGACAATCAAATTACTATTCTTGGTAACTTTGATGTTTACAACATCATTATTAAGAAAACTAGATTTTGAAGCATTCACGATATGAAAAGTCACAAATTAGATAAATCACAAAATAAGACTTTCAACCAGAAGTAAGGTCAAATTTCTAAGAGGTTTCACATATTTTGATTATCATGTATTGTTTTGTAGATGAATCAGAAATAATTGTATTATCTGTATAATTAAAAGAGTAACATGTGTGCATGGCAAGCTTTTTAAACTTTATTTAACCTTGCAAAAATGAAATTAGGAGTAGGAAAGTATGGACATTGTCACCATATAATAAGTGAGGGTTGGATACAGATAGTACTGTGCATTGCAAATGGAAAAGTATTTGGGGAATGGATCTATTATCCCTCACAGCTCCATATCAGACAGCAATGTTTATGGTGTTTATGTATGAATTTGTTTGTTTGTTTATAGACACTTAAGGGTTGCTAGATCTGATGTTTCTTACAAGATAAGTCAATCAGTTTGTCATTTTCAATCAGACCACTTGGCTCAAAATGTATTTTGTACCAGAGGTGGTTGGTGGGTATCACATGTTGTGGAATAGGTTTAACCTCTCAGTCATTGAGACACCATGCACAGCCATCAGATTCATGTAGAACTCTATGTACCTAACTGTATACATGAGTAGTCTAGGTAGGTCACTTAACTGTTGTAAGTACTTTAAATACACAGCACTGCCATTACATTTTATAAACTTTGTGCATTCAAGTACAAAATACCACAAAACAAAAAGTTTCATACATGAAGCATGAGTTTCCCTTGTTATTGTTACTACATTCTAGTCCTCAAATTGTTGCAATAATATATCACAAGTACAAGTGTTATTATGATTACTACATTCTTGTCCATACTTTGTTGCAACAGTGCAATTATTGTTACTAGATTCTAGTCCTCAAATTGTTGCAATAGTATATCACAAATACAAGTGTTATTATGATTACTACATTCTAGTCCTCACGTTGTTACAACAGTGTGATTATTATTACTAGATTCTAGTCCCTATTTTGGTGCAACATCATATCAAAGAGAGATACAGTGGTATGCTATACAGTACCAAAGAGAATATATGAATTTGTACTTCAATGTTTTATTAATTTTTTTGTTAAGTAATTTTGTTCAGTATTTCTTACTTTATATCTGTTTATTTAGCTATATCCTAATTTTTCAACTACAGTTTAAAATTTATTTTAAAAACACAGTATCTTAAAGCTCATAAAAGCACATATAAATATAACATAATCTCACCTTATGTTCTGTCATTTGTTCACGGATCTTGCCTTGATCAGTTGGGATGGTTTCCAAGAGAGCCATTTTTTTTTCCACACGTTCCAGCCACACCATCAATAAACTTAGTTTGTCCTGAAAGTCCTGGGCAACTGGAATGGTCTTTTCAAGAACCTCCATACGTTCTCTGGCTTCAGTGATGAGTATGTTAAATCTTTCTGTCAAGTAACTGAGTTGGTCTTTGATCTGTTTCTTCTCAACAGGCTCCAAGTTCTGCATGATTTCAGCTCCCATGTCACTGAGTGAAGTCATGCTGTTTTGTCGATCGAGAAGCAACTTCCTTAAGAACTGTTGGTAAATACACATCATGAGAACATAATTATGTCTGGTGTATTACAATACTTAGTCAGTTGTATTGTCTATTGATTGCAAGACAACTTCCTTATGAACTGTTGGTAAATACACATCATAAGAACATAATTACGTCTGGTGTATTACAATACTTAGTCAGTTGCATTGTTTATTGACTGCAAGAGAAATTTTATGATCAACTTCTTTGTTAAGATTATAAATCAAAGAATTACCTTCTGTTCCTGTAGCTGGGCCTTCACCACTTTAAAGTCTGCAGATGGAGGTTTCTGATTGGCTATCATTTCCTCTGTATCTTGAAGCCATTTCTGAACTCCCTCCAGAGCTTCCTGAAACTTTCCAGATTGCAGTAGGGTCAGGTCTAGTAGTCTCTCACGATCATTCAACTAAAGAAAAATTTCAAAGTCATTTACCACTCTTTTGAATCTGATTATATGCTTTCAACTGACCAATGACTGAATAGAAAAGATATTTCACATAATACATTTATTGTCCTTTTACCCTTATATTTCCAACTAATTTTTACAGTGGTCAGTGCCAGTGGGAGTCCACATATTGCATCATGTTGAGTAATTTTATATTTTTGGCTGTTACAACACTAAGGGTTAAGCTGTATACTAATTAAAAAGTCACCAATGGCTGTGCAGAGGAGTTGCATTAGCAATGATTTATTATGTGCCAAATATAGTCAACAATTTTACATGCTAATGTTTTTTAAGTAATTTTATATACTGACATGATCTTGCTATCGACTACATTAGACAGTGGACACATTGTATGAACAAAATTACACATTTAAGTGACTTGCTGAAGTACTAAGTTTGTATACTTATTAAGACAGGACTTTTTAACAATAGTTTTAAGATCAATGACCTATGACTAGAGGCATACTGATAACATTTGTATGGCTAAAAAAAAAGTCTAATATGAATTTCATGAATAATAATGACATAGTGAATGGATAATAATTAAAAACTGTTCAGATACCAGATAATAGTAACGACATAATGAAGAAGATATTATTAAATTAATACATGCCATAACTTAAATAGCAATGTTATCATTCAGTTATTACGGACAGACCAACTCACAAGTTCACAAGTTACAAACAAAATAAACTGCTTTTGGCAAAAACAGTTGAACTGAGTAATAAATGTAGATATTACAATTATCTTTTTTATTATGAATAAAACCATTCATTAAATTTCTCTCCCAATATTTCAGTTTACAACTTCGTGGTAAGGGAACCACAATGCATTATAGAAGCTTTAGAGTGACAGAGTGATTTAAATAAACACAAGGGTGTATGTACATATACATACATATAGGTCTTTATTATGGAAAAAAAGTTTTATTTAACATTATTTAATATAATTATAGGCAGCACAGAGACTAAACTAAACTTTAGAAGAATACTGATGTACCTATACATGAAACTTATATTGTCAAACAGAGTTGATTACAAGATTAAAGCTTCATAGTGAGTTTTCTTGTCAAAATAAGCCTCTGTTTATATCTTCACATTATATAGGAAGAACGACTATATATATATGAGAATTAGATAAGTTGCATTACTTTAATACAAGACTGTATCTTAGCAAAATTCTGCTATTTATACATGCAGATCGGTTGACAACCACAGCTTTCTAGACAAACATCACAATTATACAGAACACAGATTTACATGTGTTTATTATAGTGTTTACTGCATATAAATATTATCACAGCCTTATATAGATTTACATGTGTTTATTATAGTGTTTACTGCATATAAATATTATCAAAGCCTTATAGATTTACATGTGTTTATGATAGTGTTTACTACATATAGATATTATCAAAGCCTTATACAGATTTACATGTGTTTATGATAGTGTTTACTACATATAAATATTATTACAGCCTTGTGGTAAAAGTGAAACTAGTAATAAAAAACAGAAAAACCCAACATAATTTCCATTTTGTTTTTTTTTATACTGGTTCTTTGATTAATTTTCTTTCTCATTTATTTATATAGCAACAGATATTGTTAGTCTTCACACATCTCTGTTAGTAAGGAATATTACACAGTCAGTTTTATATCTATTCTGTTACTATTAAGTCACCAGGGATTACCATAGTCTTTAGTCACAAATTACAACAATAATGAAAATGTCCTAATAATTTCAAATCTTACAGTTCAAAAAAACTTTCATATCATACATAACAACATACTAAAGCAATTCTAATAGGATTGAATTTCAAACCTCTGCACCTGATTCCGTTAACAATTTTCTTACAAGTGCTGTATGTGGGTGTAAGTACAGAAGTGTTTATTTATAGCCTTAAATTTTATGAAATGGTGTACGTAGATTGTTTCACATAGAGGATGGCCATTTGTCCCCATTTTTTACTAGAAGTTACCCTAAAACTGCACCATCATAATGTTTACTTTTCAGGGTTTTCAAAGCCTTGGGACAATTTCAAATACATTCAAGGTTTTTAAATACCCTTGAGGTAAGTTGATAATTTGAACAAAACATTTTCACAGAGATCTTGGCAACATTATACCTGCTGGAAAACTTGGTTGTATTAAGCATGTTCTTGTTTTAGATAAAAACATACTACCAAAGCTAGTGTAACCAGAGCATGAATCTGTGGAGCGATGGTTTATCTATTTTCTAATAATACTTGTATTTACCCTTTCTTTCAAGTTGTTCCACTTCTCATTCAGGACTTCCACATCTTGCTCTAGTTTAATTGTTTCAACACCAGGCATAGCTGACTGGACTATACCTTGACCGATCTTGTTCACCTCCGTGATCTTCCTACTAAGGGGTTCAATATGGGTTCTGCGGAAAACCTGGAAAGAAATGAGTACCGTGAGAATAAAGTCGAAAGTACTAATTGCATTGAAACTACTCAACATACATATCCACCATTACTAAAATTTGATGTAAAATTTCTGTTAAAATTTGTATGATACTTGATTAAAAATATTTAATGGAATATAAAATGTAGGATCCAAAAACATTAAATATGGTTAAAATAATATCTAAAAACCACAGACAAAACATTTTATAGATAAAGCAAAGTACAAATGTATGTTGACAAACCTTAAATTCTTCCTGAAGTAACTTTATTGTCCCAACTTCCCCACTAATGATTTTGAAATTTTTTTCTTCTTTGATGGCCTTATCTAGTTCAGTTAATGTATTACTATAGTCTTTGTAGAAGCATTCCAATTGGGCCAAAGTGTTTTCCAGTAAGGTGTGCCGTACCTTGGTTCGTTCATAAACACGAGAAAACTGTTGTTTGAGGTTGTCAAGCTAAAAATAAGATTTTATATTAGAGATCACAGTTCTGTTGTTTCTGGATAGTTGTTACATAAGAGATATGTAAAAATAAGTGCTATGAAATATACAATCATAAGGATTTTCTTCTGATCCAAATTATGTCTAAGTGATTAAATTTCAAGTTTGAGCACTTTGCATTGAGCTTACTGAAGCTAGATTTTTTAATTTCCTATCCTACAATCACATTTACAACATTTTAACACTCTCACGGATGTAAGTTGGCAAAGAGAGAAATCTGAAGTTTATAGTTTATACCATTTAAGGTTGCTAAGCCTTCTTAAAGCACTCACTACTTATGAATACAAATGTTCATGAACTAAACCTTTTATTTTTCCTCATTAATATAGATAATAGTATATGATATGATAACTGGCAAATGTTATGCATTTATTACAGACCATGTTGTAGTTCTTACTTTTTCTTTGCATGATGTTACATCTGTGGTATAACCCTGACGGATGAGATCTTCTCCTTGTTTAGAAACGTCTTTGATATCATCATTCACAGTTTTCAAGTGTTCCATAAAGTCCTGTAAACAAAAATGTCATTAGACTTTCCAAAAATGTAACAGTAAGCTCACAAGTAGTATAAATGATGTTCAAAAGTTTAAGTGTACCTGGGAATGCCGAACTTTATTTTTAGAATATCACATTTGATGATTTTTATGATAGTTATTTTGTTTGTATTAGTTTAGTTTTGAAAATTGGACACCTTGTTACAACTTTGACTGGAATATGCTCTCTAGTATAGGCATTTCCTAATTCATGTAAGTTATTGGTACATGTTCACCTGCATGAAATCTATTTGATTCATGCTCCTGTTGACACTATATGATGATGTTGCTTTCAAACTGAAAGAGGTTTATACAGGTCAGTTTTAGGTTTTTCTGATGTTTAAAGAGGCAATAAAAGTTGAATCATATTAGGTTTTGAAAATTATGATTCTTGTATTTTCTTTTTTAAGGTAATGTGTGAATGGTTTATGTTCTTACTGTGTGTGCTCTGTAAGGAGAATTGTCTGTCAATGTCCTCACAAGTTTCATTTTTCATCTTACTGTGTGTGTTCTGTAAGGAGAATTGTCTGTTAATGTCCTCACAAGTTTCATGTACATCTTACTGTGTGTGTGTTCTGTAGAGAATTGTCAATGTCCTTACAGTTTCATGTTCATCTTACTGTGTGCGTTGCGTGTTCTGTAAGGTGAATTGTCTGT